GTGAAGCAGCTCTTGTGGCCAAAAGGTACCCAGTTTAATCCCCTCGTAAGCATTGATTGAGAAGTAGTTCTGTGTACATGCAGCAATTATACTGCTAAATTCTGTGACCTCTCGAATCCCACTTACCTTAGGGGGCGGTGAGGTAGCCTAACTAAAGTAATCGCTCGTCACGCCGAAGACCCGGTTCGATTCCCAACATGGGTACAATATGTGAAGCCCATTTCTTCTGTCCCCCACAGATATTTTTGAATCTTGCTAAAAGTGGCGTAAAGCCTCACTCACTCACTCACTATTTACCTGAGGCTAGCCGCGCTAAGATGATCGTAACTCCCATACTTTTACATAGACTTACGACTGTCGTAGCGCTAAGATGATCGTAATTCCCATACTTTTACATAGACTTACGACTGTCGTAGCGCTAAGATGATCGTAACTCCCATACTTTTACATAGACTTACGACTGTCGTAGCGCTATACAATCTTTTTTTAACGGACATTTCGGAACATTCTTTTTGAATGACGCAGACAGTATTATCATAAGCTACAGCAGACAGGTGGAAATGTATCTTTTACAGGTAATATATTGATAACCTCCTATGATTCATAAAGAACAGGTGCGATGAATCTTGAGCTCCACACACAGCCCTCCAGATAGCGCTTATCTCTGATTTGTGGATTCATTATCTGTGCGAGCTGGGATGTGCGTGTTTATCATGGAGCACAAAACCCCACGGAGCACAGACTTGGATATCATATATATTTTAATATATATTGCATTCACGTTTTACTGTTTAAAAAACAGCTTTATTGTCATGCATGTCATCTTTCAATTTGGGTTGATGAGTCAGCCAAAGGTAAATACAGTATTTGAATGGTGGTGACGTCAGTTCCATGATTAAGATAAGAGTGCATGGCTGTGTGTCAGTTACTTAAAGTCAATTCAAATTTTGACGAAGACGGTTATAGATATTACGTAAGACACAGAATAGGATTTTCAGTGATTTTCGTCGCACCTTTTTGGATAGTGCTCGTAATCAGTAATAATATGTCGTCAGCCGTGTCACCAGTATGTGGAGCGGTGTGGGGGAAGGAAGAGAGGGGCGGGGGAATTCCTAACACGATGAGGGTCAGTAATATATATAGGTATATAGATCTCACTTCCAAGGGTGAAGGAGTCGGGTATAGACACCGGAATGTACCTGGAATATACCTGGTCCATAGTTGAATAATCACTGCCCACCATCATGTAGCTGGAATATTGCGGGCTTAAACAACGAACAAACTACTTTCACTTTTGCTTTTACTACGACTACTACTACTACTAAAATTAGTAGTTTAAATGATAAGTTCTGAAGAAGAGTAAATAATAGACTGTACTGTCCGCCTATCTAGACTTGCCTCTTCAAAGGATAGAATTACTATACATCCATGGACTCAGCATGCAGTACAGCTTTGGAGCAAGGCAACTACTACTACTACTCTGACTACTGCTACTGCTACTTTTACAACTACTACAACTGTTACTATTACTGCTACTACTTTTACTGCTACTACTACTATTACGACGACGACGGTGGTGGTGTTGTTTCACAAGTCATGACATGGTAATTATTCTCAGAACAGATTCTTGAAAGGCGTTAAATGTACAGCCTATATCTAAGTATGAGTCTTTCGTCATTAAACTGATTTTCCTTTCTTTAATGAGTGAATGAGTTTAGTTTTACGCCGCTTTTAGCAATATTCCAGCAATATCACGACGGGGGACACCACAAATGAGCTTCACACATTGTACCCATGTGGGGAATTGAACCCGGGTCTTCGGCGTGACGAGCGAACGCCTTAACCACTACCTTACCCCACCGTCCTCCTTTCTTTAAACCTCGACCCTTGTTATCAGAGTGTCCCTGCCGTTGGTATTTATATACCAGGGTGTCGTTGTACAACACAACCTTAGCGCTAAGGCTACCTTAAGCCTATGTTAAGGTATGGGAGTTACGGTCACCTTAGCGCTAAGATCGCTTTGTACAACGGCACCCTGATTCTGCTTCTTATTCTTTTCTTACAAACAGCTGATTGATTGCTTACTTTACGTCATCTAAATCTCATATCTAATTTAAGAAAGTGACGCAACCTTTTACCAGCGTGTATATCGTAATACCAAGGACAAATCTCATTATAGTAACTTTATTGAAATGTATACAATATACGTATGTCAGCGTTATTCTAAGAAACCTATGTTAGTATGTACTTATATATGGGTACATTTATGCCTGACGCAATTTAGCAAACAGTATCCCGTAAAATTCATTTGCTCCATTGTATTAAAATAAACATTCCGTAAATGTTTACAAATTACTTTAATAAATTACATCTAAAATAAGACTTACGTCATGTGTATCATATAAGATGTATCATTCTCGAAAGTGACTTTTTAAACAAAACTACGTAGTAGATATATGTATTTTACAAGACCACGTACCTAGTTGGTAATTAAGACAAATATAACATGTCATTTTACAGTTGACTGTTTTGGTTTCAAATTGTGAAGATCGTGTTCATGATGTCAGTCACTGGATTGTCGGGACCATGTTCGATTATTTCCTCACTGCCACCATACCTGCATTGAGAGCCGCGCACAACAATAATAAAAACCATACTTTCTCTTTTGTGCATAGAAATAGCAATAACAACGCATAGATATAAATACTAACCGGATAGGTTTATTTATATCCCTGACTGCACCCGTATACCAGCATACTACCCAAGATATATTCATTAAAGGGTAGATAACATTCCAACAATAAGCACACCTGCGTTATATTTACACGTGACCGAGTTGTATATAAAACGATTGGGTTCAGTTCGGATTCAACACAAGGTATAAAGTACCAGGAAACTCTCGAATAAGGTAAGTTTGCGATCAGGCCATTCAATACCTGTATAGGGTGTATGTAAACATGTGGATATCAGATATTAGCGACTTCGACTTGTATATTGTCTCATTTCGTTTAGGCTGTCGCGGGTTGGGTAAGTTTATTTTGGTGATCAATTAACTTTTTACATGTACTGGGATCTAAGATATGTGTCTTAGACGATTTGTAACATATAAATGATACAAGTTAAAGACTGGCTTCACGGGATCGGAACACTGATATTTTATCTAGGATGTAGGTAAACTTTATTATTGTTTCGAAGGCCGTATGGAATCCCAGCTAAAATAGATAGCCGTTTACTATTTTCACAGGAGTCACGAGTGGGTTTACTATGCATGAGGTAGTCACGTGTGGTTTTACTATGCATACACCAGTCACGAGTGGACTAAAAGATCAGGGTTTGGGTCTCGGTGATCTGGTTGAAAGCGTTTTCTTGTACCTCGATATTAGGGGTCGTTGTTAACTATATCAGTTTGTCTTGTCTGGATACGAGTGCTTGGAGGTAGACTAACGCTTAGTCTCTGAATATATATAATTTTGATAGTAGCAAAAAAACCATTTAAATTGAAAAGGAGTCCCAGTGACTTGGGAGAACCTGGAGAAATCTAGACTTTCTTCATTGAGGACTTTAGTATTGCAGGAAGGGCTAGGCAGTAGGGAAAAAAAATGTGGTTCGGGGACTGAGACAGACTAGAAGGTAGACTAACGCTTAGTACTAGTCTCTCTCTCTCTCTCTGCGTGTGTGTGTGTATGGAAGAAAGAAATGATTCCTTCTAAATTTAAAAAGGGGCCCCAGTGAGTGGCAGAATATCTAGAAAATCTACACTTGCTTCATTTAGGGCTTTATCAGTGTAGAAAGGGCTGGACGGAAGTAGACGGGAAAATAATGTAGTTCAAGGATGATAGAAAGACTAATTCAAAGGCTGACTTCACGTATAGCGGAAACAGGTCGAAACGGCCACACGTAGCCGAGTACGATCCAGGTGACACAGTAGCCTTGCTCGAAGGCGGTAGAGGATGATGCACTGGATTTAAAGGCATTCTATCCTTACTGAGGCTGGTTTAGATAAGTAGAAAGTCTAAAGTCGCTAGTCTTTTGTAGGGTCGACTTGTATTTATCTATAGTCGTGTCATCATAATCTAGTGTTATGATGCAACTAATAATCATTTCCTTGGAGACTTGTGCAAGTCTAGCGACACAGGTGACTTTAAAATAATCCGGACTGAGGGACCGGTCAAGGTATGTCATGATCACCTCCAAATCTGACAGACCGTAGGGACAGGTCATAACGAGTAAAACATACTTTGGAAGGGATCGTAAAAAATGTACAGGGTCGTGGGAAGGGTCATCCTAAAATATGACAAGTGTTAGTGAGGAGTGAGTTAGGTTTTATGCCGCTTTTATCAATATCCCAGCACACCAGAAACGGGTTTTACACATGGTACCCCTGTGGGGAATCGAACTCGGGACTTGGGCGTGACGAGCGAACGCTTTAACCACAGGGCTACCCACAGACTCTGGCCAGTGTTAAGGAAAGTAATATTAATTTCAGTACAATAATATTTAAAGACCTCTACCCACCCTCTCCCTGTATATACGACCGGTCACTAACGTGATTTAAGTCATTCCCTTTGAGCCATGTAGACTGATGTATGTTGCAGTAATAATGAACATGGTTTCACAGAGCTGATATTACCAAACAGAACGTAATATCATATGCAGGTGATATATTAATAATATCCGAGACCATAAAAATTAATCGGTGGAACTGTTTGACAATTCATGTACATATGTATATTGCAATGATAATTACGCCATACTCAGTGGATAGGCGGGTGGTACAAACATCGCAATGGGTCACGCGTTGAAAGTTACATTCATCCACGCCAGCGTCAGCAGAAAACCACCACGCCGTTGTTGAGGTCGGCCCTTAGTGTCAGGCTGTCAGCTGAGGTATTACGAAATGATGAGGTCATCCGCTCTTTTTAACAACGGGGAGTTTCCCGCACGGCCGAGTTGGCGCGAGACGGAAATTCCCATCACGTGATCTCCCTGGCGTTATTTTCAGTTTAGAAAACACTTCCTGTCGTCAGAAAAGGGACGTTATCGGCAGTTTCTTGTACCAAACCGATGTGAGGGTGTTTGTTTATGTCCGGCGTCACGGTCCATTTCCACGTGACATGCACGAGGAAACAATCGTGATCGATATTCAGGCGAAGGAAGACTCGTTCAACAACTTCTGGTGACGCTCGGAAAAGATCGGGTACCTCGTGGAATTGGTAACCTGTCATTCAAACATCCGAACTTAACGTGACAACGTGGCGAGCTCCGATATTGAGTCGATGTGCTTTGCGACAAAACTCGTTGTAATCTGTGCACGTGTTTTAACAGTTATCGAGACCTTTTCACAGTTTTGTAGATAACAACTTGAACAGAAACGGTTCATAGTCAACTCATGTGCACTCTACTCAGTAACTAGGTCAAACGAAACGAGGAAATTTGAAAGCAATGTTTTAAATCAGCTGACTGGTGTAAACAACAACACGAGTGTATATGCCCAAGTTTTAAGTCCAAGTGTCGTAAACAGTGGATAAATGTGATATTCACCCCATGAGATAACAGTTATAGATGCACACCACTCTGCTGAAAAGTAAGTTTGTATTTTGTTCACAATCTTTCATCAACGTTTCATGAGCATTGAGTTACAGTGCATTACATCACCGTGACAAAACACAATGTTTGTGAAATTTAATTGACAGTTAGCACGTTGATAGTAAAGACCTTGTCTTGTATTTATTTCTATTTATGATTAATAATGCTGTCAGACAGGGTCTTTTGGTGTAGGCCTTGGCTGGAACACAAGTTAATTTATTTATAAGAACTAGGTCTAATGACAAGAACACAGGTTTTTTGATTCACTTGTGTAGGGAAATTATTTTCCCTGACTAAATGCTTGTCATACTTGTATGATTTTCCTTAAATACTCTCCTTGAAGGTCCGGGTTAGATTTGAGCTTCAGCAACCCATGCTTGTCATGAGATGCGACTAACGGGATCGGGTGGTCAGGCTCGCTGACTTGGTTGACTCATGTCATCGGTTCCCAATTGTGTAGATTGATGCTCATGATGTTGATCACTGGATTGCCTGGTCCAGACTTGATTATTTTCAAACATACAGCCATATAGCAGGGATATTGCCGAGTGTGGCATTAGAAAACAAAGCCTCCTTGAAGAGAGATTGTTTAAAAAATGAAAATAAATGTGTATTATGAAATGTAAAATTTGCCATGACCCCTTATACTTTGTTTCTTATATCATCAGTGTACAAAATATGCTTGAAAATCAACAGGATCTTGTCATGATCCTGTGGTCAAAAGATGACATTATAGTGATCTTATGATCCAGCACTATGAGAGAAAGACTCAGGGACCCTAAGACCCAGGACCCGTGAAGGTCAGGGTTAGAACGAACCTTCAGTAATCCATGCTTGTCGTAAAGAGGCGACTAACAGGATTTGGTGGTCAGGCTCGCTGGCTTGGTTGACACATGTTATCGGTTCCCAATTGAGCAGATCGAACTCATGCTGTTTATCACTGGATTGTCTGGTCCAGACTTGATTATTTACAGACCGCCGCGCCATATAGCTGGAATATTGCTGAGTGCGGCGTAAAACTAAACTCACCCACCCCACCCTAAGACCCAGCTAATTTAGAAAACTTTATCTAGGTAGTTCTATTTCAATAAGTGACATGAATCTTTTATGAAGGGGTGGTGGGTAGCCATAGATCTGGGTCAATTCCCCACATGGACACAATTGTGAAGCCCATTTCAGGTGTTCCCCACTGTGATGTTGCTGGAATATTCCTAAAAGCAGTGTAAAGCAATGCTCACTCACTAACTTTAATCGTGTTTATATTCTATCATCTTTAAAAAAATTAAAACAGCATTTATGTCTTAACATTATTCTGGTGAGGGCAAATATGTTCACACTTATCAAAATAACATCACCCTCCTTGCTCCAGCAGTTTTATACGTTTCTCTGTGTGTTTTTATATTGTTTAGTATTCATGTGTTATCCACTGTGATGTATATGAACATCCCAGATCACTCAACCGTGGATTTAATTATGGTGTATCTCTCAGTTCATGCACCTATGTAGAGCATACACTCAATTGTATACATTGTGGTTACAATGCGGAACAGTTTACTTGTGTTTGAAATGTTGAAGGTACATCATGATGTAGAAACGCATGTTTGAAGTATAACAAAGTTGTTACATGTCAGTGAACAATATGGAGAAGCTTTTCATGTTTACAATGTGTGACACTTTGTTGTATCTATTCCTATCTGACTGTCTCTTCATTTTTTCACATCACCTGCTGTGATGTATGAGTGAGTGAGTTTGGCTTTTCGCTGCTTTTAGCAATATTCCAGCAATATCACAGTTAGACACCAGAAATGGGCTTCACACATTGTACTCATTTGGGAAATCAAACCCAGGTCTTCTGCGTGTTGAGCGTACACCTTAACCATTAGGCTACCCCAGGGCCCCCTACAGTGATGTATGAGAAGTTGTATGGGGAATACATCTACAGTATAACAGTGTTATCACATGTGTATGATTCAGTAACATTACTCATTGTTTTAGAATAGAATAGAATAATACTTTAATGCCTTTTCAGGAATTTGTGTTACATCAGCAGAGCTACTGACAGATAAGAGAGATACCAAACATATCTTCACATTTGTTTAAGAGAGATATGGTACTTGGAATAAAGGATGTACGGGCTCTCTTAGTTTTCACAATTGGACTTTGTAGCGGCGGCCTGAAGGACGGAGGTTGTATTCCGAATTTAAGTAGTGAGAAATGAGTCAGATATGATTTTGCCAGCTTGATTCACAGTGTATCACTACTAGCAACAGTATTCCACTACATCATCATGATCATATACTCACTTAATAATTAGGCCAGTCAACCCAGTGACCGATGTTATGAGCACTCCCATACCATGGAGGTCACTGAGTTCACTACTCAGTACTGTTCAAGCATGACATGACACACTCCACAAGTCAGATTATAATTATGTGTTAGTATTTGTCCTCTTATATTGCCTATAGTCTAACTGGTTGCCATACTTGTCGTAAGCGGTGACTAACGGGATCAGGTGGTCAGACTTGCTGACTTGGTTGACACATGTCATTGTATCCAAGTTGCCTAGATTTCTGGTGTCCCCTGCCGTGATGTTGCTGGAATATTGCTAAAAGCGGCGTAAAAGCAAACTCAGTCATTCAGCCAGTTGCCTAGATCAATGCTCATGCTGTTGATCACTGGATTGTCTGGTGCAGACCTGATCATTTACATACCGCGGCCATATAGCAGGAATATTGCTCTGTCCAGCGTTAAACACAAACTGGTTGTCTTATTTTTGATTGAACCTGATCAGCTATTGGTGCATCAGCCATCCAGTCTGATCTCTCTGATTCCTTGTTTTCTTATTCCTTGAGTCAAGAGGATGGAGATTTTTATTTATTTTTTATTGTTAGTAGTATCTGACTGTTTTGAGAACATATTCTAATAACATAAAGTAATAGTTTAAGCATACACTGTTATCTACACGAATACTTACCACATGTCAAATTAAAGAGACTTTGTTTCAATTAAACTAGAGTAAACTACAGTTATAAGAAAATCAGTTTGTCGTTAGTATGTTTGTTATAAACATAGTAAACAGTATTCTAGTTTTTACAGAATTAATGATGAACACAGGTTTAAGATAATCATAGTGCTGAGTTAAAGTGTTCGCTCATCCCGGTTCAATTCCCCACACAGGTGCAACGTGTGAAGCCCATTTCTGGTGTTCTCTGCCATGATATTGCTGGAATATTGTTAAAAGCAGTGTAAAGCAATACTCACTCACTCATAGTGCTAAGATCTCTACAAGTGGGGCTGGTTTAACTGATATAATAGCTAAAATGGATAGAATTATCATACACCTGCATGTTATCAGAAATGAGTGGGCCTCTGTAACTTGATAATGCCCCCAAATTGCTTGACGATGGGCCATTATCAAGCCCGTTGTTAGGTGACGTCATAAGTAGCTCAGCTGTTGATGTTCAATCACCTACGGCTCGTTTGAACGCGGGTTCAATATTGACGATATTTCTGACTCCCATTCATCACATATACCTGTGCCATTATTCACTTTTTGGCCGGTGCCAACCTTAACAATTGTACCATTAATTACAACATGCAGCAATGAAAACATCGACTGGAACTCTAACGTTGTTGAGCACTGAAAAAAATGGCGGCTTGTAGCATGGGCAAAAGTCAAGGTCAAATTTTGGTCAAAATAGTGACGTCTTTTTGATGGGCAGTTAATGAAAGACCTCAGGCTTCTGCAAATGATAATACCCTGAAAAATAGCGTTACCCTTGTGAAATTAATTTGTCACAATTCCAACAGAGAGTTTGTCATAGTGAAATGTGATTTAACCTTAGAAATATAATGTTTCCAATCTGTGCCTTGTGATAGCCATATTGAAATGTGATTGTTTACCGTTTTAATGACGATCGGTCACAGCTGGTAGTACAATAACAATGTTATTACTTATCAGCTCGACAAGTCAGCAGTTTTATTGACAATGGGAAATGGGGTCAGTGCTTTGTCATGTTGATGATACTGGGTGATTAATTGTATCTCAGGCTTTAATGAAGGCATATATGCTCAGTCATCAGTTACATTCATAATGTTGCATATTTTCATATCTGATATCACCTTTTGATGGATGGTTGGACAATGCCGTATATTAACAGGCTCTGGTGATCTTTGGCATTATCTGTTTGGTGAGTGAGTGAATATTATTCCCCAGTCGGCAGTATACCATCTAGTTCTCTGCTGCCTGTTCATTATCAAGTTTGGGCCAGGCAGGTTGGTTTGTTGGTTGGTGCCAAACTCCTAGAGAATATAATGGTTGATGACATCCAACATGACACCTGGACGTTGGCAAAATGGAGGAGGACATCTTACACTAATGCTTAGTTTTTCAATTTTTATAATTTTGATAGTTACAGGGGGTGAAATAACCTATTGCCTGACGTCCGAGTCCAGTGTTTTTTTCTGTCGGGCAAGCAAATTTGTATATCACGCTGTACCGGTGTCCAGTTGACTTTCCAATGTTAATTATGTTGTTTATTTTTATAAATCAACAAGAAAACGGACGGAAAAGTGGAAAAAATATCAGGGCAAGTGATTTTACATGTGCCACTGTTCCGGAGTACATTAGCAATTTTAAAGTTATTTCCACCCCTGAGTTACAAATAATCCCATTTAAATTGAAAAGGAGCCCCAGTGAGATGGGAGAATATGAACGCCGGAGAATGTAGACTTGCTTCATTTAGATCTTTAGCATTGCAGGGAGGGCGGGACGACGGAAGGGAAATAATGCAGTTCAGGGACTGTGATACAGAATAGGGGACATATGTATGCATAACAACACAAGACAATTTCAGGCAATGTATGATAACAGTGATTTATATGTATCCAAAAGTGTATCAATATATTATTTAGAATGTTTGTCAGGTCAAGCTTGCTAAGTGTGGACCAGTACCTAGGTCCTGTGCAAACACAAAGCTTGAGCTGTAACATACTTGT